AAGAGTTAGGATCTTAACTATGCACTACGCAGTAGACTACCTAAACTAGACCTACTAAGAGCCACCCTACATCGGGAAAAGTTTTTCTGTTGTCGAAATCAGGAAATTGTGGCATTGTACTGTAGGAAACAGTAGGACTTGTAGGCCTACAATAGTTATTTAATGTGTATTCAATGTCTAGCTAATTTCAAGCTAACAGCTCTAACAGTCCTAACAGCTGTAATAGCCACAATAACTTGTAATCCTGCTACATTAGTAGCTCTGCTTAATAAACTATACTTTTATTATATTAATATACTACTAAGTCTCCTCTTTAAAATAAGCTATTAAATAATATTATAGCCCTATTAATAGAATAGTTATTAAGTGTAGAAGGTTTTAAGCTTAATATTCCTTGCTAAGACACTAAGTTAAGATTCTTTGCTAGGGCTCTAGCAGCCTAAATATTAGAAAATACAAGAATATTATTCAAGAATAGTAGGTAAACTAAGAATTCTACGCCCAGGCCTGCCTATGCTGCAGAGTGTGCTTGTTAGCAGGTGCTTTGTGGTGTGCTGTTGCAGCTGCAGCTGATACATTGTGTGCTAGCGCAGCTGCAGCTGCTGTGGTGTGCTGTCGCAACTTCAAAACACAAACCTTTAACTAACAAACCTTCAACGCTCTATAACTTGCGTTGTAGTAGGCCTATAATAATAATTTTTTACTTATTTTAAAGCTACAATTTCGCTCTATCTATACGTGAAATTTTGCAATTTTTAAATATTTAATACTAGTGCTAGCAGAACTAAGGGTAGCTATATAATAACATTGCAACGTTGTTTTAAGTTTATTAAATATAGGCACTTAGTGTTTTAGCTGTTAGCAACATTGGCGCGAAATTAGGGCTGTTGGGCGCAAATTAGGGCCGTTGGGGCTGTTGAACGGCCGTTGCACGACCATAGGCTGGCGGAATGGGTATACTCCAACGTCCTTCGTGGGTACCCCCCAAAACTTTGTCAATAATACATGGATTCTAGCGAAATAGGGCTTAAAAGAAAGAGAAAAACTACCCCTACATTTCTGTAGTAGAGGGTTTTGTTATAACTATTAAACTGCACAAGCTAGAGGCTAGAAAAGGTTAAAAAAGGGGGGGTACCTAGTAAGCATACCTATTAATAGGTATACTTTGCTAGGTAGTGATAATAACTTAGCTAATACTAGGCAGAATAAGCTAATTCTTTTTTTATTAGAAGGCGCAATACTAGGCGCTTCTATTAAATAATAGATTATGTAAGCGTATCTCTGCTAGTTAAGAAGCTATAAGCCAAAACGTAAAAAAGCATACCCTACCCATCCGCCAGCCTACACGACCATGCCACGACTGTCAGCAACGGCCAGTCTGGGCCGGATTTCGAAAAACTTTTCCTGATGTAGCTAGACTGCTCTTAATCTAATCTATGCACAGCAACTTTGCCTAGTACTACTAAAAGTATAAACACAACAACGCAATACTTACCTACTTATATAGGCGCAATAAGACGCCAGAGCACCTTGTACTCTGCTGCAAGACCTAAGGGTCCTTTAGCTAATAGCCACTCTAACCACCTATACCACTATCCAGCTGTAGCGAAGGTGTAGCATATACTAGTGTGCTTATTAGGGATCTAGAGGCCTTTAAAGCCTTCACCTAACTTACTCAATACTACACTAAGGTCTGCCCCTAGTAGCTCACCCTGTGCTGTAACAGCAGCAAACAACTGTACTCTTTCCTTACTCTCCTTCTTACTCTCCCTCTCCCTTCTACTCTTACAGCATTCTACTGCCTTTAAACACGCAAAAGGGATTCACCCTAATGTAACGTGTTTTACAAGCGAGCGCCGCGTACAAGCGAGCGCCGCACCCTACCAAACTTGCGCACCTCAAAGCCCTGCAACTCAACAACGTGATAATATAATATATAGGTAATTATGGAGTAGACTAAGTAGTACTCTAGGTATCCTTTTTACACGTACGTGAGTTATGGCCAGTCTCTCTGCACCTCTTGCAGCGTGGCAGAGCCTGGCGGCTGAGGCCTAATTGCTCACCTCCTTGACGCTCTTCACGAGCAATCTGCTGATCAGCCTCACGTTGAGCGAGTAGATCCTCTCTAGCTCCCTTTGTTAAGACCCCACGCTGCTGTATACGCTTTTTCTTACGCTGTTTACGCGCTAACGCTGCCTCATTAGCCTTCTCAAGGCTGGTAATCCAATCGCGCATTAGCTCAGCTGAGAGCATCATTACCTCAGCGCCCTTCTTGAGTTGGTTAATCGCCTCAATAATTGAGGCAGGTGAGGAGCTCTTATGCCGCCGCACGCGATCACGTATTAACGTTGATTGAGCATCAAGCTCACGTA